ATCACAATATTCTAATTTTCTGAGACAGTCCTGTATATTTACACATATTGTTTGTACCTTGGTTAAAAAAAGGTTGAAAAACACTGCAGTACAGTATATACAGTATACATATTGCACAGCTCAATAAATAGAATATAATTGGACTCTTAATAATTGGTTTCTTTTCCTCATTCCTGATTTATTCCCCTCAGCCAGACGACTTGTTTGTGTGTGATATGGAGGAGAGGGATGTTAGCTGTCCTCCCGCCTGGAAGAAGTTAAAGAAGAGTCAGTGCACGCCTCTGTTTATGAACGCCTTCACCCTCAGAGGTTCGTCATCTATCCCACCTCTGTCTCTGCCCGTTACAAATAATCCCCTTAACCAAACCAGTGACTCACTTTCCTGCTCTATCATTGCTAAACGCTCTGCGTTGTTGCAACTCGACATGTTTTTATACGTTTAATTTCCTCATTTGGGAGCCTGGAAGTAGTTTAGACTAGTATATGATGAATTTAAGTTATGTCCTTTCTTGGTGAACTTTAAAAGAGCTTTAAAATGTAAAATGATAAAATCTTACGTTCTTATGTAGATCTATATATGTACTATGTACTTGAATCTGAATCTGAAGAAATCCTGGTAGGTTGTAAGGAAAAAAATAGGGTAGGCAAGAATAAGCTTTGCTTCGGCCTATTCCTGTTTTGGTAAACTGTGGGTTTGTCTATTGTTCTTTTCTTTTTTTTCTTTTGTTGTTTCTTGTGTTTAATGTGGACAATTTACCAAAATAAAGTGATTGAAAGTGAGTATAAACTCCTCAGCATTTCCGGGAGAAACAATAGACTTAGACTTAGACATAGACTTCCTTTATTGTCATTGTACAAAAAACACAAGGTGAATCTTAACAACGAAATGTCGATTACTTGGCTACCAGTGTAACAGAGCTAATGCCTTATCCCTACTTAATAAATATGTTTTCTATATCTAAGAGCTAAATATATACAGGGTAAGAGCATATATATACATATCATTGCACAGAGTTATTACAAAAGAAACATCAATGAATATTGCACTGAGTTAATTGCAAAAAGAAACAATTGAGT